CTCTTGCAAGTTAAAACATGGGAATAAAGATGTAGTAGCTTACTCAGGTCATTTCTTTACATGGAGTGTCAAAGTTAGTATAATGATGATTTTGGTCCACTTGTCTATGAATAACCATTGGTAAAATTTAATGGGAAAAGATTTTGAACCTTCTCTCTTCCTTGGGAACCCAGATGGCTATTTTGGGTCACATTCTTGGCCTCCTACTAATGTGTTAATTGATTTGAGTTGATAAAGGAATCAGTTAAAGTGTAACACACAGAATCTCAAACACATGTCAGAATTCAAATTTTGAGAAGTGTTGAAACAAAATGATATAGGGGAATATATTCTGAGTCAATTTGGAAGCATAAGACATCATTCTTATACTGTACACAAATTATGACATATTTAGTGATTGGATTTACTTTAAAATGTGTAATTCCTGTGAAATTGTGAGGAGATGCTATTTATAACAATTCCCTTCAAAAGAGAGTATACCATGTTAAAATAAAAGACCTTTTTTTGAACTAAGCAATTTGATTAATTTGGTTATGTATAGGTGGTTCTGTGGCTGAGTATGAGGAAAAGAGAACTGAATTGCTCTGTTTAAGGAAAACGGAGGGACTATTTTTTATTTCAGAAGAAGAGTATAGATATGAAAGGCCTAGAATCATGGAAAGAGGCAGGAACATCAAAAAATGTTTAAGGATCTTACCTTTTTTCTCTTTCCTTCCTTCCCCCCTTCCTTCCCTAATTCCTTCCTTCTTTCCTTTCCTTCCTCCTTCCCTCTCCTCTCCCTCTCTCCTTCCATACACACACTCTTTCCAAAGAAAAATAGGAATTATCTAATAAGTTTTAAGTTGTAGATTCTTCTCCTGAAATCTCAGTAAAGGGTTTTTATACACACATTACCTATGAATTTTATTTTGCGGTTTTTGTTTTGTTGTTTGTTTTGGTGTGATTGAAGCATGAGGTTGCTGGAGTTAATGTGGTATGGAAGAGGGAAAGCATGTAAAAAGGGGTGAAGCTACTCTTAAACTAAATTAATACTCAGTGGAATTAGGGGCTCAGAGGCACTTTCCAAAGTCCCTGCCTTGGGAGCTCAGGGCAAACCCAGGGGATGTGAAGAGGCAGGTGCTCTCAGCCTACCTCTGATGGTCACATGCGGCACTCTCCTTCTCGCCTTCTTGTGCTGCTCTCCAGCCTGGGTGAAAGTTCTGATTCTGGATGGTGTGTGCTGGGAGATGTATCCTTCCCACTAAAGAAAACGGAGTAGATGTCCTGGTTCTTAATTGTTTACTGGTTCCTCAGCCTTCCAAAGTAGGTTTGAGAAACATATTCCAAATCTCTGATTTTCAACATGCAACTCTTGAGGCAGGCCTCTTCCTTAGATTGAGCCCCTGATTTCTTAGGCCATTCTCTCCAGGGGTTGCAAAGCAACTTTAATGCCAGCATCAAGGATCAGCTCCCTTTCATATTTCTTCCCAGGGAGTTTTAGGACTCTATGTAAAAGCGTTGGGTGATCTAGGACTGTAGGGTGTCTGAACTCTGTGTGACCCTTTGTAGCATTCTCCTAAAGCCCTATAAAGATTGGTCCTATCTTTCCACACCCTTCATTCAAAATTTTAAGACTATTTAGAAAATATTGTATAGAGCCTAAATGCTAGATTTTAGCACCAGACACTGGGGTTTAAATACCTCCCCTACTTCTTATAAGCTGTGTGTCTTAATCTAAAATCCAGTTTACTGATATGCAAAAAAAAAATAATAAAAAATGCATTATCTATAGGACTTTTGTGAGAATTTTATGTTTACATGTAATGCAGTTAGTACACCTACCTGGTACTATGTAAGAATTAGCTACACTTATTCATGTGTCACTAGGATCTATAGATGTGGCTGAACTAGCATTTCCTCTCTAAGGGCTCTGCTTCAATCTGGTGGTGAGAAACTTGTGTATACAGAGGGAACTAGTCTACAAAACTCCTTCTGAACTTTTATGTGTCCATCTCTTTCATTACCCTCCCTCTTGCCTCCTGATATAGGAGTGGCTCTTTCTGAAGGACAAAAGGCCACTGAGTTTGGTGTCCAATCCAAGTGCCAGCAATCCATGCTTGTCCTTCAGTTTACCCATGAGGCACCTGTGTGCTCCCAGGAGCATACATCTCGCCTTCATTATTTTGTTGCTTACTCTGCCCACACGCCACCATGAAAGGAAATGTTGGGAATTCTAGTTCACCACTAACAGGGGAACCCTAGGTTCAGAGCAGACATGGGAATGCTCGCAATTCTGTGCGTCTTCTGAGTAATTAGATGCTGTTTTTAAAATTCACTTGAAGTGAAGCACAACAAAATGCTTAATGAACAAGTTTTTCTCTGAAACTGCTGGAGAAGGTAAAAGTTTTGTTTAGGGAAGGAGAAGGTGAATGGGGATAGCTTGTTCACAAGGGAAAAAATAAGCTAATGAGAAGAAATCACATCTCGCTAATCTGGAGAACCACGGCTAAGAAGAGAATGGGAGAGGAACGAGAGATTATAGTCCTGGGAAAGAAGCAGGAGAGAGGAGAATGGGGAGTGTTACAGCTGAAAGTTAAGTGGTAAAAGGTTGTGGCCATTAAATATAAACTAGCCCTTGTTCTGTGGGGAAGGAAGAAGGAAGAAAGGTCAGGTTTTTGAGAGGATGCTGCCCCAACCTACAATGGGTGCCTGTGGTGTACTTACAATGCTCTTTCTTCATCTATTTCATGTAGATGTAGATTTCCTGCTAAGTGAGGATTAATTATTGAATTTAAAGAACTCATCCCAAGTCCTCCCATTTTTACTGTCATGGTTCAACTTTTACTTTATAAATAATAGAATTAGTTAATAACACATAACACTTTATTTTATCAAGTTTTAACTATATCTCTTGACTTCCCTTTTTGTAAGATGAGGTATTTTTCAGTCTCTAGCCTTTCCTTAACCTCTTTCTCCCTTTTCTTTTCCAGCTCAAATATTGTCAAAGTTGGAAAGATTTATGTTCTGTTCTTTAACCATAATTACTGATCCAAAAAGCTAAAAAATAATAAATGGCATTTATAATATGCAAAGATTATTTAACCTACATGCAATGAATCATCTAATTACATTTCTGTCACTAGGTAAGTTAATTTGACCTCCGAAAGCAGACACCAAAATAGTGTTAATTATAAAAGATTTATTAGGGCAACATCTGTGAGAGAAAATGGAAGGGGGCAGGGAGAAGTTCAGGGAGCCATCAGATTATGATGCAGGAGAAAGAAGAAAAGTTACGTGGAAGCATCTTAGACCTTAACATCGTTATCAGGAAAATATGGCAAGCTTGGTGGGGAATCCTCGAGCCCAAGTCAGAGGAGTCCTGCCTCTCCTGGGTTGGGGCCTGAATTCATATTCCTGCCACGCTGGGAAGCCTGGCCTCAGTGCAAATGCAATGATGGATGTTGGCAGGTAGCAGACAGGACCCTCAGTCAGTTATAATCCTTGTTGCTGGAGATCTGAGAGGTGCATCTCCTGACCACCCATGTTAGGGTTACAAATTACTATCCTTGAACTACTCAAAGGATAGAAATAGATAGATAGGATAGAGACTACTCTAATTTTCCAGGCCAGTGGATTCTCACTTCTTATAATCTACTGATTATAAAAGAACATGCCACATTTTAATGTTTTATATTTCTGTCCTGTTCTTTAATCTCAACAAACACATTCTGTAAAAGAACCACCCTTGGGCCTGCTGTGTCCTGGTTGATGTCATGTAGGCACAATCACATCATGACCAGATAAACTGTCAAATAGGGAAGAGTGATGCAGAACCAGAAGAAGAAAGTGGTTAGTTGTGAAATCTTAAGCCACATCACCAACCTGGGTCACAACTTTTTTTGGTTAAAGTTGGCTGGAGCAGGCATTATCTCGGGGTTCTCCTGGCTCTAAAGTTCTGTGGGTCTGTGCATTTTTTCTTAAACTGAGATAATCTTCACAGACTCAATCTAGAAAGGTGCAGTGACTGCTTATATTACCTTTGAAACTCTGGCAGATGGTGCATGATGAACTGCTAAGACTAGGTCTGCACCAAGAGAGGACAGAAAATATGTTTAAGAGCTCCATTTCTCTGAAGTCAGTTTTCCTGCCAGCTGATTCACTTGTTGAAAGGATTTCTGTTAGCTTTTGTGGGGCCGGTAAGCATAGCTTTACTGTTCAACAAAATGGTTTCCAAGATCACTTTGGGGACTGGGGAAAGAGGCACTCCTCTCTAACAGAAGGGTGAAATTACCCCAAAGGGCAACTACAACCACTTCCCTGGGCATATTTTTGGTTTGTCTAAAAAAGATTAGATCTCTGAGGTCCCTAAAAACAGACTAAAATATATAAACTTCAGGCCATAAGTCTTCAGTTAAATGGAGGAAATACATATCTAAGACTAAGGACTATCTAAAGATGAAATTATCATTTATGAAGATAATTCAAGCCATCAAAACTTGAAGTTTTGACGGTTAATTGACAAAGGTGAACTCTGAGGTCTTTTTTAAACCCGAGAGTCTATGAATTATTTCTAAATAATTATAAATTTTTGGAAGATAAGTAAAATTATGGACAAAATTTAAAGTTATTATAAACATTACTTTTAGTTCAGTATTTATAGTTGTTTGTCATATGCTAATTTTACACCTTCTTAGCATGTTATGACTTCTTATATATTTCATTATTTTAATATCTAGTAAATTTTAAAATCATTTCATAGACTTCAAAGTCTAATGTTTAGATATAGAGGCTTAGAGTTATATCTTTGTCTTGATACCATAACTGTATTTTACTGCATGTCAAATGTCTACCTGGGAACATAACCTTGATCAGAACATTATACCCAATGTGGGAAAATGGTTTCTGCAAAATAAAACATTCTAGTCTTGAATTTCTAAAATACTTAAGTAAAGATCACTCCCTTCCCTGTTTTTCCTTCTTGAATAAACAAATAAAATGAGCAAAATAAACAAAACAGGGACTTAAGTAAAACAAACATTAAAAAAAATTTAATTCATGAGCTACATTGCAGTATATATGTATGTCTGAATGTGCATAGAAAAGCTATCTGGAAAGGTACAAATCAAATTAGTAACAGTTTACCTGGGGGTGTAGAACTGGGGTAGGGTCAGGGGAATGCACTTATTTTTAAATTCATACACTTCTGCATTGTTTGGAAGTTTACAATGATAATGCACTACTTTTATAATAATCAAAACCATAATGGAAATAAAAAAATAAAAATAGCAACAAAAATGAAAACACACACACATTAGTTTTAAGAGCTACACTAGAGGTATAGAGAATTAAATAACATGGCACACTTTTCCACTAATACTGGTGGTAAACATAAGAAAAGAAATAACATTAGAGAAGCCACTTTTAACAACATCCCAATTTAAAAAGTCCCTTGGGATTAAAGCCCTTCAACAGCAATCCTTCAAGGTGGATATTAAAACTAAAAGCTGGGCTTACCTATTCCTGCAGGATCTATAGGAAAACATGTCAATCTGAAAACTTCAGACAAAAGTAAAAGCTTCACAGAAGTAAGCTGGAATTCTAAAACAGTTAACCAAAGGCCAGAAATTAGGGGTATGAGAACTCTACCCAGTCCAGACCCAAAGCTAAATCACTAGACTAGGGACTTTTACTTTATACATTTGCTTATCTTTCCAATTTCTTAATTGGTCTGCTTTCTATCTCAATGATTATAACCTAAAAATACTGCAGTTCTAATTGGGAAAATTAAAATGGCATCTTCAGTTTAAGTTTATTCTTCCAGTTAAAGAACCAAAGAAACTTGAGACTAATGATTTTCCATTCTTCATTTTTTCCTCATAACTGTTTCTAGCTACTTACTGAACATTTTGGGAGATAATACTGCTGATTTTTCATGGGTCCCTAAAGTCCTGTATTTGAGGAAATCTTTTTTCTCATGTTCTAGTTTTTTTTATTGCAGTCATCAGAGATGACAAACTTTTTATTATGAACTTTGTTCTTCCAACAAAGAGGATTCTTTAGGGTAATCGTTAAATATCCTCAACAAACTTGGAACATCTGTAGCTAGAAGATTCCATCTTTTGTATGTTACATAATTAAGAACATCTATAGCTGGAAGATTCCATCTTTTGTATGCTACATAATTTTGCACCCCTGAAACAGTGTTCCTGACCTAGGAGTCAAAGATTTATGTAGGATTATTCTCACTGCATGAGTGAGTAATATGGGAAATTTGACAAAACTTAATCAGAACATTATTATAAATAGCAGAGATAAAGGGTATATAGTCAAAATGGCGATGCCATTTTTAAGTTACAACAGCTGGAATGTTGCTGTTTCTTAATGAACTATAGTATTTTAATTAAAAAAGTATAAAACAGAAAATGAGTCATCACAATGTATATAAAGTGTTTAACACGATGGCTGGTACACACTGACCATTCACTAAAAAATGACCCTGTAATGAATGGGTTAAAATAATAAACAAAAATATAAGAACCCAAAATAGAAGAAGAGCTTTAAAACTGCTTTCCTAGCGTTATGCAGTTAAATGGAAAGTCGAAGTTCACATAGAGCAGAAAGGAATTCTGCGTTTTCGGGATCTATCTTTTGGGCCTTCTCATAGTATTCAGCAGCTTGCCTCTTTTCTCCCTCCAGCTTGTACACGAACCCCAGGGCACTTAAGCTCTGCACATCTGAAGCATTGTGACTAAGTCTCTTGGTAGCCAGTTTCTTCAGAGCACTTGTCAGTTTGGTACGTAGGGATGACCTGTCTTTGACCTTTAAGGCTTCTAAGTAATGGTGGATGGCAGTATTTTCTGATTTACAGTGAAACTCCTGAAAACGGCCATAGTGGTAGTGGATCTGATGTTTGTGATCATCGGTGATGTTCTCCAGACGGAGGGCTTTCTGGAAAATGTCCTCAGCATTGCTATACTGGCCTCCCTCGGCATACATGTTGGCCAGGTCTGTGTAGGCAAATGCAAACATAGAGTCTCGCTCCACAGCTGCCTTGAAGTGAAATATAGCAGATGCAATCAGCCCGTCGACTTTCAGTTTGTCTTTTCCTTTAGGTCTGTTGCGTGTGGCCTTCTTGATTTGGATCATTTGTGCCCTGTAGCAAAGTCCCATTTGGTGATGCAGGAAAGAAGAGGTTGGTGTCACCTCCAAGGCCTTTTTCAAAAGTTCCAGAGCTTTGTCCCAGGAATTTTTTCTCCTGTAGAATTTGGCTGCATAACGGAGGACATAAGGTTCAGAAGATATCTGGTCCAGGATTTCTTCAATATACTTTTCCCCTTCAGCTTCTGCATGTACATCTTGAAGCTTCAGTGCCAGAAAAACCTTAATGTAGGTGTTATCTGGATTCAGCGTAACAGCCTTCCTCAGAGGGCCCAGAGAAAAGCTCTTTACAGACCCCTCTCTGTCAGAATCATCCAGCCGATACACTGTAATGGCATAGCCGATGTTAAATTCTGGATTGTCTGGTTCCACTTCCAGAGCCTTCTCAAAAGCTGCTTTAGCCTTTTGGTAATACTTTCCCCCAAACTTCAGAAGTGCCCACCCTTTCTCACAGTCAATCTCAGGACACTCCAATTTGTAGTTAAAAGGACTAGACATTTTCTTGCAGACGTCCCCTACCTTGTCTGCATACTTCTGCGCTTCTTGAAGCTGGTCCATGTGGTAATAAACCCAGGCATAATTTCCCCAAGTGACCAGACTTCGTACTTCTTCTTTGTCTGAGTGTTCCCGCTGGATTATTTCTTCTGCTTGCTCCAAGCACTCTAGGGCATCTTTATTTTGGCCTTTTAGGTGTTTCACATAGGCCAGTAAGTTATAAAGAGTGAGTCTGGATTTTGTGGTAAGAAATTCAAGCTGTTGCCCAATTGTATCTTCCACTTCAAACAGATCAATGTCTTCCTTAAGTAAATTCCATGTGAAGTGACATTCTAACTCCAACAGAATGGCCTTCAAGGAGTCCTTAGGAATCTCGCTGTCAAAGATAAAATCCTTTTTAATTTTTGAATAAAGGAAACAACCCACTTTAAAACATTAAATACTGTTCTTTGCTTAATAACCAATTTTATCTTTTATTTGATCTTATAGCTCAACACAGGCTCCTGTAACTTCATACTAGTTTCCTCTGTGTACCATTCTGCCCTAGAATATTTCATTAAATTCTCATTATTTATTGCAAATTTCTGGAGATGACAGCATTTTCTGCATTACAGGATATCTATTCCCTTTTGGCAGTCACTATCCCACAAGGACCGCCTGCTTTTAGAGACAGGAACTTAAATGCTTGATTTACTAGCCTTGAACATTAAGAACAATAAATATATACACAGTCAATAATTATAAAAACTTCATTTCTGTGTTATGAGTAGTGAAGGGAGAGAAAAGAGAGGATAAGAAATAAGATGTACACTGTGGGAGACAGAGAAACTACAGAAATATATTATTTATGAAGAAGAAAGAAAGAGAAAGGGAGGGAGGGAAGCCTGCAGAGAGAAAAGGCACGGAAACAGAAAGGAACAGGTATGTCAAGAGATGGGGGAAAGAATGTTTGAGAGAAAGACAGTAATAGATATAGAGAAAAATGCGGAAAACGCAAAAGAAAAGTTAGTAGGTTTTCATGTGAGTGCCACGTCCTTCTGATGTCTTAGGGTTGAAGACAACAATAAAGGCTGACACCTATTATTTACTTATCATTTCCTTCAATATTCAAGTATCTGTTGAGCGCCCTTTGTGCAAGGCCCAGTGTAAAGCAAACAGTCAATCATAACTCAGCACTTTGATAAAGTTCCATGGAAGTGATCCAGAAAGGGGCCGCAGTCTAGCGGTGTGGCCGTCTGCGGCTGGTACTTGGGGAGGGCCCCTTCTTTTGGTTTTCCTTTGTGGAACAACCTCTCACCCTACTCTGAGTCCATGTGATTTGAGACACTCTGGTCCATGTGAAGGCACAGATATTCCAGCCATCTCTTGGTCCCAGTGATTTATTTGAAGAATGAAAAATAGAACTTTGCTAAAATGGGACTTTGCCGAAATAATCTCTCTCGTAAAAATTTTAAGCCGATATAATCTTGGAGTGGCCATCTTTCCAAACTCTTAGGAAGAGCCTGCCAGAGAAAGAACCTAACTCAGAGGAGAGCAGAGCTTAGACAGGAAAAAAGACAGATGGCTGATGACACCGACTGAATACCCAGATTCAGCCTTGCCTGGATCACCGTATCTACCCTGGGCTTCTATTTACTTAGAAAGCAAGTGATCTCTCTCTCTCTCTTCTTGCTCAAGGCACTTTGAATTGAGTTTCCACTGCAACTGACAAAGTCCTCATTAATATGCCTAGTTGTATTTGTTTGTTTCTTTGGCTAACGGTGATGGTGAGGCAATCAGGAAATAAAGCTGCTATTGGTCGTACTTACAGGTCACAAGAAATGTACAAAAATTACTTAGAGTTACTCTCAAAGAGGGAAATGTTCTCATTATGGGATGAACAGGGTATAGTGTGCATTTCCTTTTCTGCTGCACACAGGACCTCCCCTTGTATGTACAATGTGAATATGTATTTGTATAAATGCTTATGGGAGCCGCAGTCATATTTCTGTGAATGACCATTTATTGATAACCTCATATCGTACACGTGAGGCAGCATTCTAGTTGTAGTGGATATAGCAGTGAGCAAGACAGAAAGAGGTGCTTTCTTCATGGTACCTCCATTCTGGAGGAGACCATGGAACAGAAGGTATTTATGGAAAATAAACATGTATACAAATCAATGGACAACATAATTCCAGATAGTAATAAGTGTTAAGAAGGAAAAAAAATCAGAGAAATGGGATTACATGCTGGGGCTGGTGCGGGTACTTTAGTTATGACTGTCAAGGAGCAGCCCTTGTAAAAAGGAGGTAACTAAGTAAGATCTCAGCAATGGAAAGGAGGCAGTCATGGAAGACCTGAGGGCAGAATGGTCTAAGCCAGTCCTTCTCCACCAGGGTGATCTTGCCTCCCAGGGGGCTTTTGGTCATGTGTAGAGACAATTTTGATTGTCACCACAGAAGAAATGGCTACTATCATCTACAGCACAGGTGGCAAACACAAGGCCTGTGGGCTGAATCCAGCCATCCCCCTTGTTTTATCCTGCCCGGCACCTTGTTTCTACCCAGCAGCAGTGCCGAGTTCCTTGCCCCTAGTTAAGGGGTAGTTACATCTATACAGTCCTAAAATTACATTCAGCCCTTTGAAGGAAACCACCAGGCTGATGTGGTCCCTGGTGAAAATGAGTTTGACACCCCTGATCTACAGGATCAAGGCCAGAGATACTGCTAAATACCCTGCAATGGACAGGTCAGCCCCAGTGACCAAGAATGATCCAGTCCAAAATGTCAATAATGCTGAGGTTAGAAACTGCAGTTTGGGCTGAGGTATCTCAGCAAGTGCAAAGGCTGATGTGGGAACAAATCCAGAGTGTTCGGGGGAATGGAAGAAAGTGCAGCTAAAGCATAAACAAAAAGGAGAGTAGCAGGAGATGAGGAGGTAGTAGTAGGCAGGGGCAGATGATTTAAATTTCACTCTAATTGTAATGGGACACCAATGGAAACAAATTTTTAAGTAGGGAAATGAAAATGTTTGGTTTAGGCTTCAAAAAATCCTTCTGGATGCTCTTTGGAGAATGGATGATAGAGGGCCAAGAGAGGAAGTTGGGAAACTAGTAGGAAAGCTATTTATTCAACAAATTTTTATCGGGAGCCTGCTCTACACAGGGAACTGTTCTAAGTGTTGGGGATACAGCAGTGAACAAAACAGAAAAAAATATACTGACTTTGTGAAGTTCACATTTTCAACAGAGGGTGGGGTGTCCCATAAAAAGACCAAAAAATAAATGATAATATAGAGTATGTGAGATGGTAATATATGTGAAGGAGAAAAATAAAGCAGGAGAGGGAAGTGGGTGGCTGGCAGATTGTCCGGGAGGTAGTTAAAATTTACACAGCATGGCCAGTGGAAATCTCCCTAAAAGAGACATGGAGGTAGCTGTTCAAGGACTCCAAGGAGAGATGATACAAGCTTAGACTCAGGTTGTAGTAGTGGGTTAGTGAGGACTGGATGGTTATATTTTAGAGGCAGAGCTAATGAGTCTTTCTGATGGACTGGGTGTGGTGAGGGCCATGAGGGGAAGAGGGAAGCAAGGATGATTCCTATGCTTTTGACTTCAGGAGCTGAGTGGATAAATCAAGAGGATGATTGGGAATGTCAATTCTGAGATGTCTATTAGATAGTTAAGTGAAAACATCAAGTATGAAGCTGGATACTAATGAGGAAAATTCTGGAGATGAGGAGGAGTGAAGTTAGAACTTGGGACATAAAACTTTGTCATGGGCATGCAGATGAACTTTAAAACCACAAGATCCCAAATGAGATTATGTTAGGAATGAGCACAGACAGAGAAGAATGTCAAAAACTCAGCTGTCAAGCAGAGTAGAAGGACCAGGAAAGAATAATCAGTGAGGGAGCAGGAATGTCATGAAAGCCTGAGGAAGAAAAGGTTCATTTCAAGAAAGAGAAACGAATATGTGTAAAATGTGTAAAATGACTCTAAGAGGTTAGAACAGAAGAGATCACTTTTTTGGCAGGAGTAAAGTTGTGGGGGACCTAGCTAAGTGTTTTTCTGGAATGGTAGGGATGAAAACACGGCTAGAGTTGGGCGAGGGAGTAACGAGAGGTGACAAAGTGGGGAATATGGGCCCCCCTTAACAAGGAATTTTACTATGAGGGGAGTAGAGAAATACCGCTACAGCTGGAGGGAGGCTGGGAGAACTGTAAAAAAATTTAATCATGCTATTTTTAATGCCTCAATCATATACCAATGGGAATGATCTAGTATTGACAGAGACAACAATGCGTCTGGGAGAGGGGGGGATAATTACAAGAAAGGTGGAATAGAAAGCAGAAGTGAAGCTATTTATTGTTTATACTCAAATCTTTATCTCCAGACCCAACTCATAACCATGGTTGCTACGCCCTTCATCATCTGGCCCATGTCTACTTCTCAGGCCTCATTTCATACCACTTTCCTCTCATGCACTGCACTCCAGCCACACCAGCCTTTAAGAGATCTTTATGGTTTATTATTTCTTATGCCAAGTATGTACCTACCTCAGCACAGCTGTACCTTCTTTTTATTCCCTTATTCTATGAACTTTTCCTAAGAGAATTCTAGGGCTTACTTATTCTCCTAATTCTGGTCTTTGGCTCAAATCTCAGCTCTCTGAAGAGGCCTACCCCTGCCTATCTTGGATAAAGCTGCACCGCCACCTTGCCAGTCATCCTCAAGTCTAGCCTATCACATTTTTCTGTTCTTCATAGCACTTATATAAATATTTGCTGGGGGCTGAAAAGGAGGAGAGTGCTTTGAATAAAATAAGAGATTAAATTGAGTTGGACTGAGTCTTTAGGAATTGGAAAGGGGCTATCCTAGTAGCCAAAAGAAACAAAAAATTAGAGGACTGGATTAATTGTATAATTATTAGTAGTGGTTATAAAAATAAAACCATTTCATATTTATAATTGAATGTACTACACTGCAAAACGTTTTTCAACTTTTATAAATACTAAATGTGAACATTAATAGTTGACTTAATATATTATATTTAGTAGACATTTAAATTCATTTATTGTTAATTTCAATTTTTAAATTTTTTCATATTTATTCTCTTTCTGTTTGTGTATGTAAGCACACACATACCATACACACAGGCCCCACATGTTAGTGACTGCAGGCTCTAGACTAGAACTTTCCAATAGAACTTCTACCATGATGGCCATGTCCTTATCTGTGTCATACAATATGGCAGACACTAGTCACACAAAGCCACTGGTCGCTTGAAATGCAGCGAGTACAATGCAGAAAATGAATTTTTAGGTTTATTTACTTGAACTAACTTTAACAGTCACACGACACTGGTGGCTACTGTATGAGACAAGAGACACTGGGCCTTGGGGCTTAATGGATAAAAAGGCCTCATGCCCAACAGGTCAGAATTCTCATTTAATTTGAAATTCTATTTTATTCAAGGTGAAGAGGTAGATATATTTGAAAAGAACTTTATGTCTATGACCTGGGTTCACTGCAAATTCAATACAATGGTATAAAAATATACCATTTATAATACAAGATCTGGCAGAAGTAACACCTGCTTGAGTGTGGTTGATATGGTAATAATATGGGTGTAATAATTTACAGTTTTAATTTGAACATGTCACCTAAAATGTCACATGGTGTGCTTGAGTGCCATACTGTTATGTTACAGAATTATATGCTTATGATTTTGTAATAAAAGATTTTGTAATAAAAAAGGGGGTGTTATTTGTGCAGGATATTAGATACTATCTAGAATCATATGAGTACTCAAAGAAACATAAATAACTAAAGCCACCATTCACTGATGGTTTACTACGTGCTAGGCAGTGTGCCAGCACTTCACATAAATTACATTTTATTTTTATAAAAATCTTTTATTATTTTCACAATTTTATGGCTAAGGACTGGCAGACAGTTTAAATAACATGTCGGGTGGGAGGTGGAATGGGTGGGGTGGAGGGAGTAGAGAGGGGAAAATGGAGACAACTGTACTTGAACAACAATTTTAAAAAGTGAAAAAAAATCCTGAAAACTTGTGAGAAATAATATATGATTGTTATCTGAAAATAAATAACATATCTAAGGTTACACAGTTATAAAGTGGTTGATTCAAAAGCTATGCCTTTCAACCATTATAGTATGCTACCTCTAATATACAAACTGGAGGGTTGGTTTTTATTGTTTTTGTTTTTAAAACCAGTTTGCTTCGAGACAAGATATATCTCATGTATGTAAAGTTTGCTTGCCTCAGGAAGACCCCAAGAGAAAACAGGAAGGGACTTCAGAGCAGCTTAAAGAACAGGTAGACGGTTTGTGTGACTGACCACTGGGAAAAACATACCAGATATTTTAAGGTCTCAGATTAAGAAGGCAATTTCACATATGAGCCCTAGAAGTCGTAACATTCTACTTTGCTGGAAGTGTTTTGAGATGGAGCTACTTCTCACCAGGATGTGCTTCACAGAGTATTTTAGACAGAGACTGGCACAGAGATTTATTTAGGAATAATTAGTGACTCAAACAAGAGAGCTGGGTAATAACATGTTAAAAGTGATCCAAATTAAGTATAAGAATCTTAGTTAACAAAGATATAGGTATCATTATTATTAAAATAAGTAAATTAAAATATTTCCCCCACAATCCAATTAATGACTTTCTATTGTATATGAGAATATTCTTCCAAAGTAGTTATTCTATCTCTAACCTATTCCCTGAATTCTAGACTTATCTAATTTTTTAGTTCACATATTCAGTTAGAAGTCCAATTGGCACCTCACATAAACATATCCAATAAAGAAATTTGGGTCCCTTGAGTCTGTTTCCCTTTCAGCCTTTCCCACCTTGTTGGGCATCTCTTAATTCCACAGGTCAAATACCTTGAGTAATCGTTGATTCCTCTTCTCTCACCCCTTCACCCAAATCCAGTAGGAAGTCCTGTTAATTCTACCACCCATATACATCTCAAATCCACCCACTTTTCTCCATTTCCACTGCTATTTACCGTCTAATCCAAAATTACCTTTCCTTTGCATGGGGGCGAGAATCTGGTCTCCCTGCTTCTACTCTAGGTCCCCATATAGTATTTGTAAACTTTTCAAAATATGAACCAGATGATGTCTTAAAATCTCCAAATGGCTTCCCAGCACCCTTAGATACTCATCCAGGCACGTCCTGCAAGTCCCCAAAGGAGCTAGCCCCGTCTTCCCATCCAACATTTTCTCCTACCAATCTGCCCTCCTCATTCACCATTTTAAACATACTGACCTGCTCCTATCCTGAGCATACCAAATACAAGGACTTTTATACCTATTGTTTTTATTCTGTTTAGAGTGCTCTGGTCCTAAATCTCTGAGCGACTCCTTCTTTCCTGTTACTCAGCTCAAATATTCCCTATTTAAGAGGCTGCCTGATGCAAAGCTACCTAAAACAGACTTCTCCATTCTAGATACCTCTCTTAGGCCATTACACCGTTTTACTTTCCTTATAGCTCTTGCTACTTTCTGAGTTATGTTGATTATTTACTCACTCATCTGTTTGTCTATTTCCTCCATTTAAATGTAAGCCCCATGAGAATAGAGACCTTATTCTGATTTTTTCACCTCTGTGTCCCTACCATCTGTTATTCCAGGCATATGATAGAAGCTCAATAAATACATACATACATAAATAAATAAATAAATAAATATTTGTTGAACGAATGAATGAAGTTATATACTGGTAGCTTCTGGCATGTCCAATCCAGAGGTGTAGGCTTAGCACAAAAAGCACCTGAATTTCAGATGAAGGAATTCCTGACAGTTCTTCCCTTCCTGCTAATGGCTCCAAACCCTTCCCCACTTCAGTCTTCCATCTCCTGCCTGTCTTTTTATCTTGGCACGCTCTCTGTCTGGCTCCATGTTTGGATTTTGAGAATAGATTTTGAACTGTTTCCTGTGGTTCTCAGTGGGAAACAAGGCATGATTCCCCTTGGTGTTTGGCCCTTTTTCTGGTGTAATTGCACCAAAATCCTGGGTAAGACTTACCATGTCCTTACCAGCCTGCCTAGATCCACCACAGAGTAAAATGAACACTGGCCTCCAACCTGAGGGTTTCTACCAGCGCAGCCCAAAGACGATGCAGAGGGCTGCCAGGGGTATCATGACTGTGGACGTGAGGTCTGAAAGGGGCGTTCAGTCAGCCACTGAAGTGCTCTGCCCACTGGCTGGCCATAAGAAGTTTTACTTTTTAAACTCTGTCTACTTAATTTTTTTTACTTTGGAAAGCCAGTAGAGACAGGCTATTATATCTAAAAAAGCTACATTTAACTTTCAGTAATTTTTTTCCCAGGAAGATGCAGTCTTTCGTCATCCTTGGGAGACACTTCCCAATGGGGTCCACCCCTCTACCACCAACACCCTACATATATACATACACGGTGCACCCCCTTTTCCTCCTTGTTTCTTCGGGCCCTTCCTGATACCTCCCTCCCTTCTTACAAATGTTACAGGTTAGGGGCTTATTATTATTGTTGTTGTTGCTGCTATTACTTCTAATAATAGTCAAATACTATTTGCTAAGCAGTCAATTAAGCCTTTCCACAGTCCTAAGAGATGGATGCCATTCATTTTTTACAGATAAACAGATTCACAGATTTTTAAAAACTTTGTCTTGCGTCACCCAACTAGTGGAACAAAGGGTTATTTATTATCTGCTTCAGGAGCTCAAGATCTTAACCTCTCAGTCCTCAGATTATTGAATGCAAATGGCTCATTAACCACGGATGCTAGCCCTGGGGAGAGCAAAAAGGGTGAGAAAAAGGCGCCATCACCGTAACTTAGTAAAGGAGACGGATAAAGAAACCCTCATAAAACAGTGGATTTGGTGGAACAATAAAAATCTGTACATAATCAAAGGTAGCTCACGGAAGGGAAGGACTCAGGCCCAGAAATCAGAAAGGCAAAATGGCAGTAGTGGACAAATATGCAGCCTGGAGCTGCGGCCAAACTGCGTGTGCCAAAATGAGGGAATGGCAGCTGCGGAGTTGGGATGCGGAGCAAGGCAGGGGCCTATGGAGACCTGTGCCACGTAGACACCCCGCAGAACGGCCCTCCGTCACCTCACCGCGGTGGCCGCAGGGAGAGAACAAGCTTCCTGAGCAAGTCGCCTGGACACACGGCCCAAAGCCCGGACCACGGACGCCTAGGACCATCGGGACTCCGGGTAAGGGTCCGTTAGGACACCCTCCCCGACAGGCCTGATTTCAGACGCGCCGGACCTGGAGAGGGCTCCTGGGGAGCATCCCAACCCAGCCGCCTGGCTGCTGCGCTACTTGGTGCGTGGGGCTTGGCCTGGAGACGGGGCGGCAGCACAGCGTCGTCTGGGAAACGGAATAAAAGGAGCACAGCGGGGTGAAACAAAGGCCTGCAAGGAGTTTGGGTGGAGAAGTGGGGAAACCCCTTACCTCATGGTGGCTGGGCTCCGAGGGTCTTCCTGGCTCAGGGCAGTCCGCAGTCCCCTCGGGCTTTCTCCTTGGCCCGGATGCTGCGCTGCTGAGCGAGGGGGGCGGTGGGCGCTGGGCTGCAGAGCTTGTGCGTGTGCGCAGCGGGGCTGATGGGCGGGCTACCCACCAGGTCTGCAGGGCTTGGCTTGTGCCTGGGCGTTTGTCTTTGTTAAAGGCAGGACTGGAGCGGGGAAAAGGAAACTCCAATGTGAATCTGACCCCGAAAAGGCGGAGTCCAGCTCCAGGAAACGGAAACTTGCTGGAAGGGATGAGTGGGAATGTCCCCACCCCCGTTCTGTTGCGGGACTCAGGGGCCGCAGGGGCATCTTTGTAGACCAGTAGGCGGTTTAGAGTTGGATTTGCTGCTGGGCCTCTAGACCTTGGTTTCCCCGAGTCCCCGTGCCACTCAATTAACCTTTTTTTTTTTAAAAAAAAACATTATTTGAATACAATGAGAGGAGATAATTCACTGTTATTTTTGTCGTAAGAGTGGCAGTGATACTCTTTCCAGCTTTATGCATCCTAAGCCGAAACTGAAGTCTCTGCTTCCAGTCTTCCTTCAGTAAACAACATTGTAGTGATGTGCATCTGTGCCATTATTTCCACTGGGTAAATTTAGATAAATTTTTGGGCCAAAATGTATATGTATTTTAAATGTTGGTGGGTACTGCCAAATAGCTTTGTAGAGAGGTTTATACACCCCCACTCACGATTGTGTAGCGTTTGCCTTCTGTGTCCTTGCCTGAAGTGCTTCCTGTAATAGGTTCGTAAAGATGGGGGTGGTATTGGCAACCTAAGCAGAAAATGCCCAATATCCATACACTAAAATTTTTGTCCCTTTTGACTTCAATCACTCATTTAATAAATGTTATTTAAAAACTGCTAAGAGCCACACATTGTTCAGGCACTGTTGATAATGGCAATGAATAGAACAGACAAGGGATCTACCATTGTGTAATTAGACTTCATCTAGTGTGTGAGATGAAGATAAAGAACAAATAGCATTATATGGCAAAAAAAAAAAGCAAAGAGCATAAAGAGTGTAGGAGTTCAGGGTATTTTGCTGCTGTTCATATGTGGGCGAGGGAAAGTTTCACTGAGAAAGTGTGGTTGAGCAAATGAGTGGTGAATGAGTGGATGTGGGGGTGGGGAAGTATGTGCCAGGCAGGGAAACAGTAAGCAGAACAGCCTGGCGGTAGGAGCATAGTTGGCCAGCTCAGATGGTGCGCTTCCAGTGGAGGAAGCATTTCCAGTGGAAATGTTGTAAGATACAAGGTCAGAGAGGCAATGTGTGTGTGGTGGCTTGTAGGCTATTGTAATATTTATCTTAAGTAGGAAACCACATTTTAGAAAAGATACTGAATGGTTTCAGTAGAAAAATAAACCCAGAATTTTCTTCTTACCAAGAATGTAGGAAAATTTAATAGAGTTCCCATGTTTGAAACAATCTCCAGTGTCTGGATCACGTTTTTTCTTCCTTGTTCCTGTTCGTTTCCCTTCCTTTCTATCAGCTGTATGCGGGACAAGAGAAGGTCTCTGCTTGTTAAGGTTTAAATGGATAATGAGTAACAATCATTGGTAAAAATCAAAGGAAAAAACCCCTCCTAGTTGTCTACTTATATGTTTTAGAAATTCAAATTCAGAAAGACAAAAGCCATCTACAAAAATTTTAAAGAAATATGCATTTTCAGTATTGAAGAGAAGCAAAGACCTGACTATTGAGTGGGTGTTGAACATGCTGAAATCACTAGCTGGAATTTTACTATCAATCTTTGTTTTGTCTTTTCACAGACTTTCGGATTGAGTGGGTTCTTGGGCAAACCAATAGTGTATTGTCTTTTGAATTTCTTCTTATGAACATGTAAAATCCAGCAATTAGAGAAAAAGGGAAATGAAAAGTAAAATGTGGTAGCTGATGTAAATCTGCTTGGGAAACTGAAACTTAAGTAACAGGTAGTAACTCTCTGAGTTTCAGAATAAACACTGTTTCAGTAACTCTTCCAGGAGATGGGTGTCAGTCAGAGTTTCTCAGCCTTGGTACTACTGACGTGTGGGCTGGATAACTCTCTCTTGTGGCAAACAGTCCCATGCATTGAAGATGTTTATGCAGTATCCTTGCATATACCCATTAGATGTCAGTAGAACGCTGCAGTATGATCATCAAAATTGTCTCCAGCTGTTGCCAAAAGCAATTTCTTTTTGCCCTGAGGGGCAGAATTCTACTCTTCCTTCATACAAGGCAAGTTGAAAATTGCCCTTATGTATATGCCTAATTTTTAAAAAAATTATTGGTTCACAGCACAGCCTGCAAAAGACAGGAGGTAGACTTCAGTAAGAGAGGAAAAGTTGAATAGAGGTGATGTTGGAAACGGTACTGGAATTCAGGAAAAGGCCTGGATGAAAGAAAGGATGGACATCAAGGAAAATGTCAGCGAAGGCATACCCCCTTCTGTATGGGACTCCAGAGTGGAGGTGTCTATCACATTTGGTCTGTCTGGGGACAAGATACAGAGCTGTGGTCACACACCAAGGGTGGGTAATCCAAGCTGCAGTATATAGGCTAGAGATCCTGAGTCCCAATGCAGTTTCACCTCCAGCAGCATCATGAGATTGGAGACATTGGTGGGCAGAGTGATGATTGCCAAGGAGCTGGAGCCTACGATAGCATGTGGATAGCAATTGTAGCAAAAACCTGGGCTGGGATAACTATCACAGTAGTGAATGGCAGGAGCTGTGGCAAGCCCTGATTGCTGAGCACTTAGAGAAATTCTTGTGTGGAGGGAACTCTAAATAAGGACAACTGAGGTGGTCAGTCATCTACATGGGAGTGACAAGTGCCTAAAATTCAGCTATCCATTTAAAGAGTCCTCTTGGTTATAATGCCTGGATCTCCTCATGTGTAAATCTGGCAATAGTATTTTCAATACCAAAGAGCATCTGTTTTTCTGGATTTGCTGCTTGTTGTTGCTCTCTGCAAGCATCCAGGCTATCCCATACTTTAATTCTACTGAGCTCTGGGAAGTATAGAGGTGTATTGCAGAGTTGTGAAGGATGAGAGAAAGAGATGGTATTAGGTGATAAAACACACTAAGTAACCGTGATCTCTGGAGATTGTCAAACACATATCACACGAATATATTACATAATCTAGAGACTTGTTTTGCATTAATGAACTCTGCTTTCTGGATACAAAGGATGCACAGCAATACCTAGGAAGAGTTGCCTAATAGTCAAGAGAATCAACCAATTGAACAATTATTTACTTTTAATATTTCTGACTCTGGGAGAGTTGATAGTGGTTAGACTTAGCACCACACAGCCTCCTTTCCCAAGCACAAGCATTTTAAGGTATTGTTTTGGTTAAATTTAATAGATGTCTTGTTTTAGTGATAAGAAAGTTGGGAAAGTTATTTCTATATAACTCTATACTTCCCCTCAGTAATATAGATTTTGCTCACTCCAGTTCCTATAAAATTTCAGTAGTAATTCAAAACCCAGCCCAGTATTCCTGAAAATTCCTTGGGGAGTTGTATTCTCATGGATTTAGGGGTCCCCACCAAGGAAACAGCCTAAAAGCTGGTTAATATACAAAAGGATTATCCCCTAGAGCAGGGGTGTATGACCCATGGCCCATGGGCCACGTGCAGCCCAGGATGGCTATGAATACAGCCCAACACAAGATCATAAATTTACTTAAAATATTACTTCATTTTATTACTAAGTTTTATACTAAGTTTTATTACTTAGGTAGGTACATTTTCTATATTAGTGATCACAAACTTGGGACCTGCTCAATGGTTTTAAAAGATTATTGAAAGGGCCACTGAACAATTAGAGTTATTATGTGAGGATTTTCTTGCTTATCTGTGATGGTGGATATCATGAAAATTATGCATGGACCCTTTTTTTTTTTTTTTTTTGCTCATCAGTTTTTGTTAGTGTTTGTGTACTTAATGTGTGGCCCAAGACAATTCTTCTTCCAGTGTGGCCCAGAGACACCAAAAAGTTTGGACACCCCTGCCCTAGAGTCTCTGGAGGAAGTGTGGCTGTGTCGGCGCTAATTTTGTAATAGGATGCATCTGGAAAACTTAAAATATTTTAATAAAATATTATTAAAACCAGAGTTTTAATAATATTAAAACACGTGCCTGCTTGGAGCCAGGGAGATGGGCATGACTCTAACCCGTGATGCAATGTAGCCAGAGGGGCTTCCTGTGCTTGTGAGAGCAGCTTGGAGGTGGCTGCTGCGACTAACAATGACTAACAATGGCAGGTGAGAAAGAGAAGAGACCAGACCAGTGGTAGTGTGGGAGGAGTCAGAAATGGGGTTACAGGGTTACAGGGGAGGTTCCAGGCTGGGATTTAAACAAGCAGGCGGGCCACCATGAGGTTGGGGACAATGCAAGCACAGATTACTGACAGGAACCGGGGGAAGTGAGCTGCAGACTTCTGGTTTTTTCTTCTGTGAGGTGGCACTTTGGACTGGCATGCCCCGAGACTGGCCTAACTGGGCAAAGGGGGGAGGGTAGGACTGTGTTTGTGGGTGTATCTTTGTTTCTAAGGGGAGTGAGATGTAATGGCAGAATTTGACCATTAGTCTAAACCTGTATAACTTTTAATTTAAAAATTCCTTTCCTTTTTACCAAACTCTGACATTGAGAACCACAGTTCCTAGTATGGTGGCGGGCATAAAGAACCTAGAGTAACAAAAGACCCCTCAGGGGCAGAGGGGTGTTTCTGTAACAATTTCAGTCCAACGAAACCTATTTCACACTTCTGACATACAGAACTTTCAGATAATAAATCTGTGTGTTTTTACGCCACCAAGTTTGTGATGATTTGTTATAGCCACAATAGGAAATTAATATATCCTCCCCAAACCCATACAGCAATGAGAAAACAATAACATTGCTTCCTTCTCAAAAAAGATTTTTTAAATTTTATTTTAGAGAAAGGGAGGGAGAGAAACAGCAATGTGTGAGAGAAACATCTATCTGTGGCTCTTCACCTGCCCCCAACCAGGAAACTGGCCCTCAGCCCGGGCCCTGTGCCCTATGGTGTGTGGAATGGCACCCAGCCCACTGAGCCACACCCGTTGGGGCAACATTGCTTTCTTATTTTTCTTTTTAAAAGTATTTTTTGTTGTACATTGACCTTTAACAAAATGTCACAATCAAAGGTGATCGCCATGAATGACTTCTCAGATC